ATGTGTGTCAGGACTTACCAAGTTGCACACTGAAACGTGCAAATTATTTATTTCAGTTATAATTCAAAGACTCAAAGAAAAAATATATATAAAATTAAAACTTGGACATCTTTCCATGCCAGCACTAAGATCCTACATTATTCTTTTGATTTATGTGTGGTTTGTAATTGTATGCATATACTTTTATTTTATCCACATAACCTAGAGTGGGTGACTCATTTGTTCCAGGTAATAGGGCCTGCTTTTACCTGTGCTGATAAGGAAAATAAAGGCCTTTTTTGTTTCGTTTTGTTTTGTTTTTGCTGAATCTGATTAACACATTTGACATCATCAGTCAGAATGTAATTTCTGAAACCTACTGCTTCTGGTTGTCTGTAACATCTTGTCTCATTGGATTGAGAAGACTCTTGTTTATCCTAAATATGAAAATAAATTAAGGGACTATAAATGAGTTTTCTATAAAATTATGGTGCCTCTGAGATAATTTAATTCAACCCTCTTATTTTTACAGAATAGAAAGCATGATAACTGATTTACCTGAGATCATACAGATAGAGCCCAGAACTTCCACCTCTTAGTCTATTTTTTACTGCACAGATGTCAAATAATTGCTTTTTTGCCCTCAGGTTTTTTTGTATCAGCTCTGGATTAGTACATATTAATCTTTAGGGAAAAAATACAAGTGAAAAACATTCTCCATGGGCCACTGTTAAACAACTTTCCTAGATGAATGACTCTATTTGGGGTTCTTTTGTTCTTTAGAACACGGGGAGAAAAGAATTATTTTAAAGGAAAAATAATAAAACCAGTATCCTTTCTGTGTCTTATACTGTACAGCTAATACATTTCTCAAGGAATGACCTCATTACACCTCTGTGTGCATCAGGATTTCTGATCCTGCCATATGTTTCACAGTGGTATCTCAAAAATCATAACAACTTGGAAAGTTTATTTTTTACTGGATAAGGCATTATAGAAAAGATATAGAATGATTACCATTCTTTGCTTATTTACCAGTTGGTTTATTTGTTTGAATAAATACATATGAATGTCTACTATATGTAAGGCACTGTTTAAAGTGCTGGAATATACTGGTAAGTTTAAAAATTGTCCCTTCCTTATAGAGCTTTGTTTTGTAGATAGGAAAAACAAAAAAGAGACAAGTAAATGAATAGTATATCATATATTGACAAACGTGAGGGAGAAAATTATGGAGCAGAAGAGACATCGAGAGCTAGAAACCTGTGTATGCATATACTGCTTTCTTTAGCAGAGCTAAGGTAAATCTTAATAATCAAGTGACATTTGAACAAATACAAAGCCAAAGGAAGGAGAAAACTCTGAGGGTTCCTGTGGGAAGAGCATTTTAAGTAAAACAAGCAAGCAAACAAAGAAAGTACAGCTATATAGACCCTAAAGTGAGCTTGTGTTTGATACTTTTGAATAATCTGGAACTGTGTGTGCAAGGAGGGGTACATGGGAAGAAATGAAGACAGAGATGGGGCAGGTCACATAAGACTTGGTTGATACTTGTAAAGATGATCTTTTACTCAGAGTGAGAAAGATGGCTTTGAGCAAATAACAGAATCAGTTTTCTTTTTTAAAGCTGAGGTAAAATTCGCATAACGTAAACCATCGTTTTAAGAATAGTTTTGTTTTTTGAGACAAAGGTTTGCTGTGTTGCCCAGGTTGGTCTCGAGCCCCTAGGCTGAAGTGATTCTCCTGTCTTAGTGTCCCAAGTATTAAGACTACAGGTGTGTACCACCATGCCTGGTCTTTTAACAATTTTAAAGAGTTCAAATCTGTAGTTGTTACTACTTTCAGAATTTTGTGCAACATTCACCACTATTTTCAGAACATTTTTATTGCTCCCAAAAGAAACCCTATACCCTTAAGCAGCCACACCCCATTTCTCTCACTCCTTAATCTATTTTCTGTCTCCATAGATTTGCCTATTCTATATTCTCTTCATACAAATGGAATCATACAAAATATGCCCATGTATGTTTGGCGTCTTTCAATTAGTACGTTTTCAGTATTCATCCATATTTTTCTCTTTTATGAATAGATAATATTTTAATCTATATATTACACATGTATATACATTCAATATTAATTATTTATTAATCGATTTTTGGGTTGTTTTCACATTTTGGCTATTAGGAATAATGCTTCTGTAAACATTTATGGGAAAGATTTTGTGTGTACATATGCTCTTAAGTATATAGAGCTAGAAATCAAAATTTTTGATCATATGGTTACTACATCTGTTTTATATTGTAAAAGCTCATTTAGGCTGATGTGTTGTGGATAGATTGTGTGGGAACAAGGGAAATTGGAGGGTGATTATTCAGGAAGTTATTGCAATCAACCACTTGGTAGATCATAATAGTCTGGGCCAGAGTAATGGCATTGTAAGAAGTGATCAGATTCTAGATAAATGTGGAAGAAAAGCCAAGAGCACTTACTGAAAAATTTGATTTGTACTGTGAAAGAAAAGAGTTAAGGATAATGCTAGAGGTTTTCTTTTATTTGAAGAAAACAAAACAAAGCAGTAAAAGGGTACAAGTAATACAGAACTTAAAAAAAACCAAATCACTAGTTAATAGATTACATATTGTCATCTTAGAAATAGTTGATCAAGTTACAAAATTAAGCATACAAAGTGGACATTCAAACAGTGAGACTGCAAACAGTTGTGTTAAATGATCCAACAAAAACTTAGTAATATGGTTATCTATCTTAACACACCTAAACACACTATACTAGAGGTTTTTGATCTTAGAAATGAAAGGAAGGATTTGCCACCAGATGAGACTGTGGAAAGAGCAGATTTGAGGGAAGATCACGGTTTTGGTTTTAGAACTGTTTGAGACATCCAATTTGGAAACTTTGAGTAGTGTATTAGTCAATACTAGCAAGAGAGACAGATTTACCGCAAGACACAGAAATTTAAAATGTAAAAGAGTGTGAGACTTTTGTCCAAGCACTACTGACCTAAGGAATCCAGTCAAAGAGCTGGATTTCACAGTAATGTACCATGCAAGTCCATGTCAGGAGGCTGAGGAATCCATGATGGAAGACTGGATGATCTGTGCCTGAAAGTCTAAGGACCACTGTTGGATGCTGGAATGTTTGCACAGGCAGGCTGAAAGGCCAATGGTGGAAGCTGAATAATCCTCAAAGAGAACCAGGAGATGATACGCAAGGCAAAGGTGCAGACCAGATCTCCCAGCCAAAGTGCCTATGCCAAAGGCCAGAAGATGATGCTGAAAGCAAATGCATGGACCAGGGTTTCTCCCAAGAGAACAACAGCCATATTTGGTGAAGAAGACTGGTGCTCTGTTGAAGAGATAAGCTGAAGCTTTTCTGAGGAAATCAGCATAAAATCCTCCCCTCGAGTTATACCATTCCAACAACCATGCTGACTTGAATCAGCTGGACATTCTCACTCAAGTTGTCCATTAATTGATTAACTAGCACAGTAGAACATTGTAAAAACAGAGAGTTTAAGAAATAAATTTGAGTTATTATTTTATAGGACAAATTTAAAGCCACAAGACTAGATGAACTCATTTAGGGATAATTCTAGATTGAGTAGAAAAGCAGTTTAGGGAAGAAACCTAGACATAAACCGTATGATAGAGCTCTGCAGAGGAGGAGGGATGAACAAAGGAGATTGAGAAGAGGCAGGCAGAAAGAGCAGAGGAAGTAACCAGGCTACTGTGGAGTCCTAGAAGTGACTTGAGGAAGAATGATTTTTCTCCCTTTGCTTCTTCTCTCATTAATTATTTGAGATAATGAAACCAAGGATACTGTTCTGACTTTTAGAGATAGGACTGTTGTTTTAAATGTCTTCATTGGTTAATTAAGCTAAGAAGTAACTCTGATATTCTGTCTTAGTTACTTTCTCATTGCTTAGACAAGACACCCAACACCTAAAGTGAAAGGAGGAAAGTTTTATTTGGTCACAGTTTACAGAGGTTTTAGTCCATAATATGCTGGCTCCAAGGCAGGGTGACATTGCACACAGGCATCACAGAACAGAAACACTTCATGGTGGGAAGAAGGTAGCAAAGCAAGCAGGGGACCTTAGCAGCATCTTTCTACCCGTTTTCTATTTCATCCAGGTTACAGGGATTAGGGTGGCACAAAACCAGTTGGTGATTTGATTTAATAATCACATACCCTTAATCCCAGTACTCTAGATCCAGCCATCCCTGAAAAAGTTTCACCTATGACTGCATGAGGCTTTGGGTGGGACATCTAGACACAAGCCATAATATCTTACGAATAACATATTACTTATTATTGGATATGCATAAGCCCTGTTTAGAGTCTTTATTCAGGAATGTAGTCAACAAATATATGAATACCTAGTCTATACTTGCCTATCTTCTGGATAATAGACACACAGCAGTGAACAAAACATGTGGCCACATATCTCACAAACTTAGTCAAATGGAGTAGAAAGTCATCAAACAATTTTGATTATTGAACAGTGTAACTAATTTAAAATATATTAGCAAATAATTACATATGTGATGAATGCTACTAATAAATCAGGGTGTTTGGGGGCAAGGTTATTTATTGATACTTGGTATTGGTTAGGGAGAGCTGGAGGAATTGACATAGGAGGAGAACTGAAGAAGTTGTTTCAGCCATGTGGAGATAAGCAGCCATTGTGAAAACAAACATCCTAGTCAGAGAAAAAAAGAGAAAGGGAAGCTTTGGGATGTTCTGGTATATAAAGTGTAAAGAAGAATGGAGAATAAAAGAGAGGCTGGAGATGAATAGGAGTCAACTAAAAAAATTTCTGGCTGTGCTAAGGAGTTTGGGTTCAGTCTCAACAACATTGTTGGGCATTGGAGTTTTTAAAGTCTACTTGTATTCATTTTAGAAAACACTCATATTACCATTGTGAATGGGTTGGAAGAAAGGCCACCAAGAGATAGGAGGCCTTGTTTATTTTAAATATTGGCTCCTTGTTTTTATTCTAGTGTTCCCTTTGAAGTGCCAAAGTTGAAAAGTGGAAAGAGTGCACTGGAAGCTGAGAGTGAAAGTCTGGATAGCTACACAGCTGACTCAGATAGCACCTCAAGGTGTGTATACCCCCATTTTCCTCACCTCTGCTCAATCCAAGTCTCCATTTTGTTCTCTAGCATCAGGATGCAGGTCTGTGCCACTAGTGTTACTGATTTCTGTCTTCAAGCAATCGAATGTAGCATTTTCTCTGACTTCGCCAAAAGTTTCTCAGTAGTCCTTATACTGCAGTAAGGGCAAGTAGTACTTACTGTGAAGTAAGAGTAAGTAGTACTTTCTCTGTACATAGCTTTTGGGAGTATGTTAACATTTACAGTATGCTGTACCTTGGAGGACTCATCCTGACCCAGCAGCAACTAATGCTGCTGTCCCTTAGGAGTGAGGGTAACAGTGTGTTGGTGCAAAACTGCTTGTTGGATCTTTTACATGCCTTCAAGAAAAATCAAATGTGAAATCTAGATTTATTTTCTTTGGTAACTTTTAGATTTGGTTTCTATGATGACCCCAAGCTAGTGACTCTCCTTCTGTGCTAGAGTTTTGGATCCTGGGTAGAAGAAGAGGGGTAAGAAGTGACTTAGTTATAACATCTAGATCTACCTCCAGGAGAGATTCTCTGGATAAATCTGGCCTCTTTCCAGAATGGAAGAAGATGTCTGCCCCCAGATCTCAAGTAGAAAAGGTAAACTTCACATAATTGGTTTTTCCTTCTCTTCTGTCGCTCTTTTTTTCTTTCCAGTTTTACATTCCCTCCCCTCTCCTCTTTCTTTCCTTTCTTTTCTTTTAACTCCTGTTTTCTGCCTCCCCTGTACCCTTCTCTGTTCATTGATCCTTCCTTCCTTTTCCAGTTAGAATTTAAATCAGAAATTCAGTTAAACAAGTTGCATTTCAGATTCACTTGGAACTGTTTTCTATGGTGTTGGTTGAAATGTGTGATAAAGTAGTTTTTTCACTACTTTAGGCATTTAATTTTTAAGTTTGCCATAGTTGAGTAACTATCTGAGCCTTATCCTGCTTAAGGCTATCCTTTATTACTTGGTACTTCCACTTGCCCAACTGCCAGTTTCCACTTCTTTGCCCTTATTCCTTCCTAGGAAATTCAGCCAGTGGGTCAAAATGTAGTATCTGTTGATGAGGATGAAATGATATTCAAGAACACCAGAAAAATCTTCAGGCCTTCAGGTAGCCAGTTTGGGAACTGAAGTTCTGAGTACCCATGTTGGGCACTTGGCATAGAGTAGAGTAGGTCTGTTTTGACTTGGATTTTTGGTTTTTCACTCAGAATACACTAAATCTGTGATAGATCTTCGTCCAGAAGATGTAGGGCATGAAAGTAGCTCCATGGGAGACAGAAGCAAATCTGTCCCAGGCCTCTGTGTAGACATGGTAAGTACTCTAATATTTCATTTGACCACTGTATCTTTTTTTCTCTAGAGTTGACTTCAGTGCCTGTTACTTTCAGCCAGTTATTTAATTCTTTTGGAAAAGGCAACATGAATCTTGATTCCCTCAAATATGGTTCCTGATTTGCTTAAAGGAACATATTCCTTACTATCTCCTATTTTGTAATACACTGCTGGATATTTGGTTGGAGGCTAAAATATTATTTTGATTAAAATGTAAAAGTATAGTTGGATTGGCATAGTTCATCAGAAAAGAGTTATTGATTCTGTGAATGTTGTAGTTACTTTATTATTGCTGGGATAACTATTTCACTCCCACAAGTTAAAGGAGGGAACCTTTATTTTTAGCTCACAGTTTGTAGAGGTTTCAGTCCATAGGCAGTTCACTTCACCACGGGGCAGCACTGCAGAGGGACATGGCAGAGGAGAAACACTCCATGGCAGGGCAGGTACAAAAACAACAAGAAGTGAACCTCCCTTTCTCTTTTATTCCATTCAAGCTACAAACTCACTGGTTGGTGCCACCCACACCCAGGGTGAGGCATCTGTCTTCAGTAAATTCATTCAACCACACCCAGAAAAAAGTTAACCAATTAGTGGGCTACAATTAGTGGATACAGGAACATCCCAAAGCCACATCCATGAGCACATGAGGTTTTGGAGAGACATTTAGATAGATACAAGCCATAACATCCTGCTTCTGCTCCCCAAAAGACTCATTTCCATACATTTATGCAAATGCACTTTGTGTATTTCTAAGAGGTGGTAAAATTATAACAATTTTGGCATTTCTAAAAGGTCCAAATCAAAAGTATTACCTGGTGTTTAAGGCAAAGTCTTAACTATGAGCCCCTGTAAAGATGGAAAGAAAAGTAAACACTTCTAACATATAATGACACAAAATAAATATTCCTATCCCAAAAGATAGAAAAAGGAGACTAGACTGGAGTGGAACCAAAACAAGACCAAAATCCACCAGGGAATATGTTAAATTCCATAGTTCCAAGTATTGTATCTGGGGTAATCTGTGGCAAGATGTGAAATCCAAAAGTGTTGGTTATTTCTGTTTCTATGGCATTGCCAGTGGTTGTAGTTCTCACAGCTTCTCTTTTGGGCCAGTTTTGCACACTCCTCAGTTGATCTATATTCTTATTTTCTCCAGAATTTTTAGGTTTTTTTTACTGTACGTTTAACTTCACACTCACAGTTTTATACACTGGCATCTCAGGATCTCGCTCTCTGGCCTTACAGGCTTTTTTCTCAAATCTGGGTGCAAGATTTCTGACCCTACAAGTCTTACATTCTGCATGTACCTTGAATCAGAACTATGCAGATGATGCCAAGGTCTGCCATAAGGGACTGAATGCCTGGATTGCTGAGTACTAGGAACCAAATCCTGAAGAACAATTTTCCTAGGCCACTGCCATTCTGGAACATGGTGCTCTGGGCTTCTCAACAACAAGCAAAATCTTTCACATTTGCAATTTTGAGGCTGTAAAAGGTGTAGTCCTAATGGTTCTTGTGATACTATCAGGCCATCTTTTCTATTGTCCTCTTCTGAAATACTGACTTTTTATTGCTCATCTTTTCAGCAAGGAGTTTCTTCTCTGTTCCATCTTGGCAGGCTTCCACCTTACTGGAGCTTGCTTTCTAACCAAACTCAAAATGTTTTAAATCATTCTTATGGGCCCTTTCCTCTTCATTCTTACCATAGATCTGACTAAAAGCCCCCAACAGTAACCATGCCACTACCTCAACATTAGAGTGTCTTGAAATTTGTCCTGCAAGATGAGTTTACTACACTTATACTCAGTCTCCTGTGAATTTTTTAGGCATGAGCAAAATGCTGACAAATTTTCTGCCAAAATATAATATATGTGGTCTGAAGTACAGCAACCAATTCAGTCCTTGTTCCTAACTGAAACTTCGTCCACCTGATCTTTAATAGCTTCATTTCTATCAGCATTCTGATATTCTGAGCACTGACCAGAATTTCTCATCAAGTTCAGCTTACAGCATTTCCATGCTGCTTCTTTAGCAGGCATGCCCAAACCTTTCCAAACTTCCCACAAGTCAGTTCCAAATCTTTCTGAACCACATGGTCAGATAGTATCACAGGAATGACCCCGCTACTAGTACCCAAATCTGTCTTACATTCTCCATGCTTGGACAAATATTCAACATCTGCAGGTTAAGGGAGAAAAGATTTTTTTTTTACATCACAGTTTGCAGAGGTTTCAGTCCATAGTCAGCTGACTTTACCACAGGGAAGCATTGTAGAGGGACATGGCAGAGGAGAAACATTCCGTGGCAGGGAAGGTCCAAAAGCACCAACCAGAAAGCCTCCCTTTCCCTTTTATTCTGTTCAGGCTACAGTCCTACTGGTTGGTAGCAGCAATACCAAGGTGGAGCTTCTGTCTTCAATAAATCCATTCAGACACACTCAGAAAAATGCTAACCAATTAGTGTACTAATCCAGTACCACACACCCTTAATTCTAGCATCATATATTCATGATCCAGCCACCTCCCCAAAGCTATATCTATGAGTGCATGTGCCTTTAGAGGGACATTTAGATATAAGTCATAACAATGAAAAATATTAAGTATTCTTTTGAGATATGACAAATATGATTGGAATTGAACTGGGAAGCTGGAAATTGGGAGGCATGTAAAAATAAGAATATGTGAGTATGTTTTCACTTGAAACTTCAGAGCTTTGCAACAGTTTCTGCTAAAAGATATTCACAGTCTTTGAAGCTTTTCATGTTTTTGCAAATTCTAAATTTTTATTTATTTTAGGAAGAGGAAGAAGAGGAAGAAGAAGACATTGATCACTTGGTGAAGTTGCATCGCCAGAAACTAGCCAGAAGCAGCATGCAAAGTGGCTCCTCCATGGTGAGTTATATTTGCTCTGTATTGATACACAAAATGGGGTACCAGGAAAGAAAGGAAAGCCTCTCTAGAGCAGATACAGGAACTGGGAAAGCCATCCTAGTCAATATTTATAGATAAAGAAGATACATTTGTTTGTTTTACCCTCAATTTAGCCTGCAGAAACTTAGTGTACATCTAGGTGACTTCTTCAGCCTTTTTCCTGGACATTCTTACATTAGGTAATGAGACTAGGAATATTGTTCATCACAGCTTTGTGAACAGGAACAGTCCTCTTAAGAGGTATCCAGGTCACAAAATGAGTAAGATCAAACTTGATCATGGCCCACTCTAGATTCTCACATTAAGGAGAAGTGAGTGTCATGAGGACTCTTGCAGGGTTAATTGGCATCGAGGCATGATTAAGGTTCATTAGTACCAATCAGGATCATGAAATTAAAGTGACACCAGAATCAAGACCTAGTTCTATCCTAACTATTCAGATTAATGTTAAAGAGAAATAAAGTCAGGAACAAGGCTGATTAGAATTTTACACTCTCACACAGGAAGAGAATATTTGACTCACATAGCTGATCATTATCAGAGATGAACTAGGCCTGTTTACCCGCCTCCATTCTGACCCAGTGTCTTTTCTTTATAGGTCTAATAAAGATAGGTAGATATTCAAGGCACCTTATTTGAATTAGTAACCAACCCTTTTTAGCACATGTTTTAATTTATGTAATACATAACATAAGTAGATTTAGCTGTGTCTCACCTCAACTCCTTATCCTCCTGGCAGAGCAAGTGAAAATTAACTGTAACATGTAAAAGGAGGGGGAAAACAGAACCTAGGACCTTGTGTGACCCATGAACTGGTTTACTAATCTAAGCAATTGTGAGTGTGTTGCTAGCCCTAACTTATCCTCTGTTGGCAGTACTGGGTCTTTGCAGGGACTTTTGAAATTTTTGTTTGGTTTGGTAATTGTAGTTTTATCATGAGAGAAGATATGAGCATTGTGAAATGTTGAGTATGCTTCCCTCAGATGTTTGTTGGGTGTTTGCTCTTCAGAGTACCATTGGTAGCATGATGAGCATCTATAGTGAAGCTGGTGATTTTGGAAACATCTCTGTGACTGGCAAGATTACCTTTTCCCTGAAGTTTGATAAGCAAACAGAGACTCTGGTCATCCATGTGAAGGAGTGCCACCAACTGGCCTATGCAGATGAAGCCAAGAAGCGCTCTAACCCGTGAGTGCTTCTGAAACTTAACTGATACTCCGAGATAAAAGACCAGGCTCTGACTGACATCTGTCTGGGAACTTTTGAACTGAACTTATCACTTCGTGAGGTGGGATGGGGTAAAAAAGCTCTCAGGACTAGGAAAAAATAAGAATGGCATACTTAAGAAGGCTTTTTGTGATATTTGTGGCATTGCATTTTGAATATTTATATGGCAAACAGGGAAATGAAAAAGGGGCTTGAGAAAGGATAGACTGTTACACAGTAATTTTTTGGTTTCTAGGTATGTGAAGACTTATCTTCTGCCTGACAAGTCCCGCCAAGGTAAAAGAAAAACCAGCATCAAACGGGACACTGTCAATCCACTATATGATGAGATCCTCAGGGTAAGTATCTTGATTCTGAAGGCAGAAGAACTTGTTCTGTCTTGTGACTTAAACTGTAGATATGCCTCTCTAATGAAACTGATTGGTATGGGTTTCAGTAATCTTTGTGTCTGAGGATTCACTCTTGGAATCTGCTCATATAGTAACTTCTCAGAAAAGAAAACGAAGGTGATCTGGCTTTCTTGGATGATTGTGAAGTTGGAGATTCATGTGGCCATAAATCTTGTTTTAAAAAGTCGTTTGGAATAAAGAGTCTTCTTGGTAATTACTGGATGTGTGAGCACCTTCTCACCCAATCAAGAAAAACAAAACAAAACAAAACAAAACTAATTTTCCAAGTTTTCTTATGAATTGTGATAGATTTATGAAATGGAATAGGTTGATGCTCTGAGCAAGGAAACTCAAGGTGTATAAAAACTAAAATAATTTGATATTCAGGACTTTGGACATTGGGTGTGAATTGATTAACATTTAGAAGAATCTTTTTTGAGGTTAACTGATCATCTTGTGCTTCTTTATCTTCACAGTATGACATTTCAGAATCTCTTCTGGCCAAGAGGACCTTGCAGTTTTCAGTGTGGCACCATGGTCGTTTTGGCAAAAACACTTTTCTTGGAGAGGCAGAGGTTCATATGGGTTCCTGGAAGCTTGATAAGAAGCTGGATCATTGCCTTCCTTTACATGGAAAGGTAGTCTGCTTTAACAATTGCTACAGCTTGGTTTGAATTATCTGCAGTGCCCTCTTCTGATCTGAGTTGGCAGTGGCTTTGAATGTAGTCCTTGATAGAATTCTAGTGCACTCTAGTGGCCTTTCTGAGTTTGACAGCCATTCCAAAGTTCTCATGTTCAGCACGAGCAATCACTTTTGTGTAAGGTAGGCAAAATATGAAGCCATGGTTTTTCATAAGGAAGTCTTTATATGTATGCCAAGTTTTTCTCCTAACCTTCTAGAGTCTGGGTATATCCTAACATCCTAATTTCTCTAAGATAACCTAGGATGTGTCTTAGTCTGTACCCTTTTATCAACCTAACCTTCTCGCTAAACAAGTACAGCAATTTATGACTCATCAGTAGCTGTACTCTTGTATAGGCTAGAGAAATTTTACTTTGGAGATAGTATCTCAAGTGATTGTGTAGCATTGTAGCATAATCATGCCTGAGATCTGGTACAGATATGGGCTGGAATCTTGGTTCTGTTAATTTCAAACTCTGTGATTCATCTAGTTTATAAAGTAATTTAGGGAAGACGGCTAACTTTTGTCAGTTAGTTCTCCATCCATAAAATGGAGATAATAGTATTCTTCTTTTTCAAGATTATATGGAAAGTATCAGTCAGTACCTGACACATAATGGGCATTCAATAGATTACTATCATTCTGGTTAAGATGAAATTGCTAAAGAATAGGACTTAGCAACTTTTTGATTATCAAACGGGTAGGAGAATATTGTCCTCCTTTAAAGTTTCATTATGAGAAATTTAAATGTTTAAAATAATATATGATACCACTGAACATTTTTGGAGTATTAAATAACAAATTAGGGCCTTGGATTTAGCTCAGTGGCTTAAGCGCTTGCCTAGCAAGCATGAGGTCTGGAATTCAATCCCCGGTACCCATAAACAAACAAATAAATAAATAAATAAATAAATAAATAAATAACAAATTAGTAATTGTAATGACCTCTAGAAAAGGAGCCTGAGGTGGAAGAAAGATAAATTTTCTTCATATGCCCTTTGAAAAACTTTTGAACTTTTTACCATGTTAATAAAGTTAAGTGTGAAAGAGTGGTTCCAAGAAAAATGTAGAGCATATAAAAAGAAAATAGATTTCATTCCTTAAGAACAACTATCATTAACAAACAGTTAATTACCTCCTTAGAAATTTTATATTAAGTAGCACAGAGGTAAATCTATAGATTTATATTTTTTGCTTTTTGCATAAATGGGCTCAAATTAACCTCATTTATATATATATATATAATTGTATAATATATACTTATATATTTTATAATATATAATATTATAATTTATAATGTATACATATATATATATATATAATATCATGGGCATCTTTCTATGCCATCACATTTTAATTGGTTTATATTGTTTCATTTTGATTGCGTTTAGTGTTGCATCATATGGCTGTATTATAATTTATTTACAGTTTTCTACCTAAAGGGTATTTAAGTTGTTTAAAGTTCTGTTCTTAAAATTTTAATATATCTGTTTTCTTTTTGTGAATATAACTGTCAAATAAATTCCTTATGATGGAGTTACTGAGTTAAAGGAAGTGTACACCCAATAATTGGATAGCCATTTTCCTCTCAAAACAGTGATAATAAGTTCATCCATTTAAATGTTAAAAACATGTTATTAGAAATTTAAAATTTCTTAAGCATTTTTCATGTAAGTCCTTCTCTCAGTGGGCTACATTTTATGTAATTATATTGGAAAAACTGTTATACCACCAATAAAAATGTCATACATAAAAAGAAGAATCTGTATTAAATAGAGGTATTTGCTCTTTGCAAATATTTTGATCTGTAATAAAAATGTGCTACAGAAATAAATGTTAGATTTTAGCTAATACTAAACTCCAATTTTAAGTGGTGTGAAATTTTCAGCCTAGAAATGAATAAAACCTGTATACATTTTATAAGTAATAAAAAGAGCATTCCCATATTATATATCTCTTTTAACCTAAAATATTCTACATTTGTTATTTTGAATTTTTTCTTCTTTACTTTTTTTTTGCTGTAGCAGTTTGCTTCCTGTCACCCCAATTTCTTTTGCTGTCATCCTCTTCCAAAATTTTTTTTTGTCTGCATATACGAAACTTTGTATATTCTGGGTGTGTGATACATTGATCCAAACCTATGGGGGTTATGATTTTCTGGCATCAGAATGCTCTGTGGCGAAGATTTGCTTTAGAGGGGTCTCAATAAACAGAGAAGGTAAAGAGGACCTATAGTCTGCACCACTTCATGGTCTCAGAACCCAAGAATAAAGGAGAGTCATGCAGAGAGAAGCAAGAGTGAAGCATTTCTGCCACTCAGAGTCAAAGACAGAGTACTTGATACTCTTCACTGACATTCATTAGTTTAGTTTACTCTTAAATTTACTCAGTAAATATGTGGAGTATCTACTATGTGCCAGGCACTTTGCTGAGTGTTGTGCATGCTAGGATGAAAAGAAAATAGGTTTGACACTTGTCCTCTGCCATTTAGATTCTCATGATAGAAAGACTATATATATATATATATATTTAAAATTGTGCCATATTCAAATCTGTGAAATAGAGTTCAAGCTAGCCTTTAGATCTTTTCAGTTCATATTTTAAAAAGCACTTTTTATTTTTGAGTTTCTCATATAAGAAAAACCATGAAATATTTAACCTTCTGTATCTGATTTATTTCGCTTAGTGTTAGCAAAATAAATGATGATAGGAAACAGGGACACAGACGTAGAGATGGGGAGAGGACTTGGTGATAGGGAAGAATGGTAGGTGAGAAGAGGAAGAGAAAGAAATCATTAAGATTCAGTATTGTACATATAACAACTCCCCAAAATAAATGTAAGTATGAATCATAAACATATATGGATGAATAAAATACATATAGCTAAGAAAAAGTAATTTTATATTCTAAATCATGAAGGTGATGTGTTCATAGAAACAAAACTACAGATGTTAATATAGGGTAAAAAGGGAAAGTCCTCCTTCCTTTCCCCATTTTACTCCCTTCCCTAGAGGAAACAAGTATTAAAACTGTCTGAATTCTGCTGGATTTTTCTATACAGTATTTATAGTAGTTAAAATCAGAGACTCCAGTTCCAGTCTGTCTGAATTGGAGTCCTGATTCTGTCAATTATTAACTGTATGGCTTTGGGCAAGGTGCTTAACCTCCACTCTGTTCCTCCAAGGTGTTTCTCCATTCTTTAACCTGTAAGCTGGAGATAATAAAATGCGTTTCATAGGGACTAGATTAAAGATTAATCAAAATGAGAAATTTAAAATACTTATAATGGTGCCTGGATCATAGTAAGTGCTACATAAATGATAATGATAATAATTATTTATATACATATATATTCACATGAATATATTTTAACGTAAGTGAGATGTTTTCCTGAGTCTTGCTTTGATGACCTAAGTGTCTTTTCATGTCAGCAGGACAGATTCTCTACATTCTTTTTTCATAGGATAAAAATGAAACTATAAGTTAGAGTAATTTTAACCAACAGTTATAAGATAGACTTCTTGTAAGCATGTAAATAATAAGTCTTAAAATTCAATCAATACTTAAAATGAAAAATCACTTTTTATGTAGGAACAGTAAAACAAATAGCCAAGTTAGGTAGCTGGAATCATCCAAACAGTTCCTGTTTTAGCCTGTCAGATTGTCTCGGGAAGCCCACTTGCAAAGTGTTATCCAAGAAAGGAAAACCAAGTATTTCCTTTTTTGCAGTGGCACTCCACTTTTCTTAATTTTTATTTGGGCAGTCGTAAATGGTTGTCACTTTCAAAGCCTGAATTCTTTCCAATAGCTGCATGCCATATGCTGCATAAAATCATAAAATCACTCACTGAATCTTTCTAATGTTCACTGATATTTCAATTGTTTCCTTTTTTTAAACTGTTACTAACAGTGCTGGTAGCAAGATTTTTCATCATGATATCAGTCTTTTATAAGTTTAGTTGGCACCCTTGCTGACAGACTTGTGAGAGTATTTGAAATCTAGTAACTATATCCCTAAAGGGACATAAAGTGGGTAATGTAGAACATCTTTGGGGTTCTTCTGTATCTTCTCCTCAAGAAACTGCCTCAGAAGCCTGTGGCTGCTATAGCTTAGGGACCCAGGCTTGTTTTATAAAAAGGATCATCATATGTCATAAAGCTGTTCCTGGGGGGAAATTTTAGGATCATCTCTGGAAGAGGTCCCAATACTTTCTGAGAAGTCTGGCTTGACCTGTTGGGTTTCCCTGTGTTTCAGATCAATGCCGAGTCTCTGACTGGCTTGCCATCACACAAAGGCGAGTTGGTTGTCTCACTGAAATATATCCCAGCCTCCAAACTTCCTGTTGGAGGCGACTGGAAAAAGAGTGAGTTTTCTTTGGGGCCTTGGATGTAGCTTGTAGTTTCGTGCACAGGATTTGTGCAAGGCTGGTGCTGACACTGTTGGAGAAATCAGACTGGATTTTCTGGATTTTCTAGGGAAGACTCTTATTAAGTAAACCATTTTCTGCAGTTTTTCAACTGGAAACGATTGCCTCAGGGTTGAAGTTCCTTTTTTGGATATTATTTTTTAGGCTATTGAACTGCATTGGTTTTGGCTCAGCTGTAACTAGCTACTAAGAAAGCAAAGACAAGAGAAATTTTGGGTCTGAAAGTGGTTTCTAGAAGAGATGGTAAAGTGGGAGGGACAGGAAGTTGAGAGTTGAGGAAGAGTAATTCAACACATCAAGCTCTGTACCAAGTGACTGTGGATACATAGACAAGTGAATCATGACATACACTCTTCCTTGGAGAGGTGAATTTAACAAGACAGTCATGGGCCAAAGGAACCCAGATACAAGGGTGATAGTTTTTGTCTGGTTATATTTGGGAGAGCTTCAAAGAGGAAGTAGTATTGAAACTAGACCTTTTGATTTAATCAGGATGGAGAATGAGGAGAAAAGAGCATTCCCAAAAGAGGTGGGGTAGCACAAACACAATCTTTAAAAGGCCTGGTAAATGTGGGAGAACTGAAACCCTTGTATCAATGGGATTGGTGTTACAGTATACATTTGTATACATGAAGACTGGGCCCGGGATTGGAGATGAGGCTGGTACCTAACTAAAAAAGGCCTTGAATATAAAGAGCTTACATGATCTACTGGTAAAGGGGAAGCAAGGTTCTTAAAAAATGTATCTTCAGCAAGATCTAATCTAGAGAATTTGGGAAAATCAACCAGGTCCCCAAGAAGCTTGGGCAGAATGATTATAGCAGAGGAGCAAGGGTAGAACCATAGGGAACAGAGAAGCAATGTAAAGAATGAAGAGAGGAAGAATTGACAGGGAGGCAGGGAGTTATTAGGAGAGAGAAATGCCAGGAGAGAGCTTCAAGAAGAAGTAATGACTTTTGACAGTATTGAATTATTACAGAGAGGTTAGGCCAGGCAAAGACTGAGAAGATATAGGTAATTGTCATTTGATTGAATTTGCAGTAGATTAGTTGAAGCAGGAGCCAGATTTCACTAGAAAACTAGGCTAAGTGAACGAGGCAAAGCATAGAGGGTAATTAATGGTGAAAGAAAGGAGACGTATAGAATAGCTTGAAGAAGAGGTTAGGTTGAAGAGAGGCTTTCTTTAATGGATTAAAAATGAGATTAACATAAATTTAGATTAAAATGAGAGTTCAGTGGAGAAAGATATTAGAGTGGGAGATGGAGGTTGAAATTGATGCTGCCTGATTAGTTCTGTGAAGGGGTCAAGAACTCAAGTGAATGAGTTTCTTCTTTTTTTAAAAAAATCATTCAGTAAATATTAGACAACCTTATTCTTCTAAGCTTGAATTTTCTTATCTATAAAATGAGGGTAATAGTATTGTATAGCTCATAGGATTCTTTTGAGAAATTAATGCTTAAGGCAGTATCCAGTACATATCCAATTTTCAGTAAGCATTTATTGGTGTTGGGGTTGTTATTAATTGAGCACCTACTACTTACTACTGGGCACTGTGCCAGGTACTGTGGAGACAAGTCAGGCTAAGTTCTATTGTGGAGATCTTGCTGCCTGCAGAAGCAAAGAAAGGAAGTGCTATGCATATAAAGGTCAAACTCAACTTAGAGGTGCAGGGGCTCATTTACTATGGCTCCCATCCCTTACAGGTAAAGGTGTGGAAGGAGGAGAACTCCAGGTGTGGATCAAAGAAGCCAAGAACCTGACAGCTGCCAAATCAGGAGGAACTTCAGACAGCTTTGTCAAGGGGTGAGTCCCTGGACCAGTACCAAACTAAACAATTTCAGAACAAGAGAATTACAGAGGAACCAAATTTAACCTTTTTCTGTGGACACTACCCTTGGGTGTCCTACTGCCTCCAGTGACTAATTTTATTCCTGCAATTAGGTAATGGCAAAACCTTCACTACTTTCTTTCCACTGGTCTGAGCTCAGTTTGGATGAGGCTGTAGGGTTGATATTCAAACAAGATAGTGGTGACAGGTAGGTTCTGAGTTTTTTGTAACTCATGTTCTTAGTTAATCCTGGGGAAAAATTGGTATCCTCTGTCTAAATATGGGGACTCCTGACTCTGTTCTCCATATTTTTGAAGCAATACTAGCTTTCCCCAAATTATAGATCATTATCTTAGGCTCTCTAGATAGCCAATTTGGCTAACTGTATAGATATTACTATTGGTTTTATTTACCTTGCATAGTAGGAGAAATGAAACAAAATGTTTAGCACAAATTTTTGGAGAAGAATAGGTAAGAATCTGAGTTATGTATATTCATTTTTGTCTCCAGATTAAAGGGATTGAATCAGGTAAATGATATAGTTGAGATAGTAGGATGTCTGCTTCAGCAGATACAAAGGAGAGATGTGTACATTGGGTATTGACTCATCTGGACTCAGCATGTGGTAGCAAAAAGGGGAATTTAGAAAGATTTTGTAAGCTTTGATTAGGCACTGATTATTTCCTACTCTCTGCCAGATACCTCCTTCCTATGAGAAACAAGGCCAATAAGCGTAAAACTCCTGTGATGAAGAAGACCCTGAATCCCCACTACAACCACACATTTGTGTACAGTGGTATGAGACTTGAAGATCTACAGCACATGTGCCTGGAACTCACTGTGTGGGATCGGGAGCCCCTGACCAGCAATGACTTCCTTGGAGGGGTCAGGCTGGGTGTTGGCACTGGTGAGTCTCCAGCCCTCCCTTGTATTAAGGGTTGCTTATTTATTTTACTACCAGAACCTCCCATCTTGACACAGTTCCTTTATGATAGCAGTTATCTTTTTTCCTTTCAGATAATATTCAGCAAATATTTATTGAGGGCCTGCTATATACTAGGCCAAGGAGAAGACTGAGTTCATGCACTGCTATGTGTACAGATAAATGTGATCCTGATAGAATATATATATATTCCCCCACCCCTTTTATCATGTTATAATGGAAGAAAGTGCTGTCACAAGGTTAACCTGTCTCTCCTGGACTACCATTACCCCTTCACAATGATCTCATTTCTATTGTTTCCATCCTCCCATATGATCAGTTACATTCTCCCTACTTACTGGAGGTAATCTTGATGTGCTTTGGTATTTCCAAGCTTATTAAATCTTCCCTTGACCACACCCCCTTCTAATTTCTTAAAAAGAGCAGTTTCCACTTCTGCACTTCTCCTTTAGCTCTCAAACTATTGTGATCTGGCTTCTATCACACCACTCTGCTTAGCAATTACTCATGTCAAAGTGCTGTTTTCTCTTAGTAGAAATTTCAGTACTATTTAACATAGAAGATCCTTCCCTTTTTCTAAAAATACTTCTATTAACATTATACTCTGATTTCTTTTGAACTCACTGCTCAGTGCTTCTCATTTTTTTGACTCCTCATTTATACTCAAACTGTCAATGTTGGTGCTTAGTTTTTCATTCTCTTCTTTCTCCGCAGTCTTTGCATTCCAAGACCTTAAATGCTAGCCTCAAATTAATAACTAAAAAACCATCTAGAGTGGTGTTTTTACCCATGTAAGTTAATTCATGTCAGTCCTTTGTTTAAAACCATTCACTGGCTTACTAACATACTTAGAGGTTCTTTGTAAGTCTACAGGCCCCCATACAATTTAGACCTTGTGTTCCTTTCCTTCTTGTATTAGTCTCCTGCTTGCTCACTATGGTGTAACCACATTAACCTTCATTCTTTCCTGGAAACATACCAATCTCATTCCCACTTCAGAACTTTATCATTCCCTCTGTCTTGAAAGGCTAGATTTCTCCTTCCTTTAGGTGTTTATTGAAATGTTTCTTCTTCAGAGTTCCTCAGACTATTTTATCTACAGTAAGTCACCATCAAGGCACTGCAATTTACTCTGTTTATTTCATGACATTGATCTCCTTATCTGATATACTCTTGTTAGCTTTCTTTATATTTTTTGCTTTCCTATTTAAGCTTTTTAAAAAATATTTTGTGCTTTCAAATATAAGCTTCCTGAAGGTAGTGACTTTTTCCATTTTGTTCATTATTGTATCCCCAGATTTAGAAGAGTACCTGGCACATAACAGACAGTAATTGTTCAAGGAATGAATAAGTGTGCAAGAGAGTAGGAATGAAACCACATAATTCTAACTTCAGGCCTGGAGACTGTATCTAGAAACAAAGGTGTTCATTCAGCTTTTAAACATTTTTAAATTCAAATTGGTAATAATAGAATGGTAGTAGCTCTGGTATGAAGTATCAGACATCAGAGCTCTGTAATAGCTTCAGCATAAAGAGGCTGTAGTGACTGTGAGCCTTTTAGAGTTCTATTTCATCAACTCTGAGTCCCTTGTTGGCCTCAGGAGCATAGAAATATCTGTGCAAGGTTAATAGGGAGCTCTTCACAGATTGCTGTCCTATCTGCTAATTTCTACAGCACAGTCTTTAAGGGGGCAACTACCTTTGCTCTATAGCATGTCCTTCCCTGCTGGGATGAGGAATTGGGTCCCTCTTCAGCCTCTCTGGTGTTTTTCCTCAGGGATCAGTAATGGGGAAATAGTGGACTGGATGGACTCAACTGGGGAGGAAGTGAGCCTATGGCAGAAGATGCGACAGTACCCAGGGTCTTGGGCAGAAGGGACTCTGCAACTCCGTTCCTCGATGGCCAAGCAGAAACTGAGTTTATGAGTCTCTGTCATCCTCTACAGCTCCAGACATGGCCAGAACAAGTCAGAGGAAGTGAAGAAATCAAGAGCAAAGATTTATAATTTAATATGTATATTGAGTGTTTGTGTAAAACATGTATTTTTGCTAGTATTAGTCTGCTAGCTAGAAAGATGCAGACTTGTTCCCCTTTATAGAATGGCTGAAGAATAAAAGTCTCTTGAAAATGTTTCTACTTGTGCATAATCTAGCATATTATCAGATCCATTCTTTTTTGTAACTTTATGATGTTTAATTAACTTTAAAAAGGTCTTTTAAAACAGTGTTCCATCTTTTGTCTTGCTATCCCAGGAAACCTTGGCTACCTTTGGTGTTAGTTTCAGTCTGTGGTTTAAAGTGTGCTTGATCTGATACGTAGGGGGTTCCTTGATACTTCTAGGAAGCAAAGTTCAGTAACTAAAGACAGAGGAATTGAGAGAGAACTAAGCATGTCTTATCCTTCCTCTCTATATTTTTAACTCACTTTCTATCTTGGTAAATTCCTGAAACATGATTTTAACTCTTCTTTTCTAAAACAGTTTCTACCTTGCTTGAGTATAACGGTTTTCTTTGAAATGCTAAGAAAATTCCTTGGCTCTTTCCAGCTTTAAACACTTTTATTAGAACTTTAGGAAATCCTTATAATGAAATCAGTTTAGAAAAGCACTTTAATTAGATAGTGACCTTTTGGCTGGGTCATGAACATGCCCAGTGAGACCTTCTGGCTGATCTGGGAAGATCTGAGTGACTGAGGATAAAGTGTCTCACAGACATGCTGAATTCTCTGCATTTTAAACTAATATAGCAGTTAGGGAGAGAAGCCCTCATTTCTCTAAAGAAAGATGAAACATTTTCATTTTCATGTACCACATCTTTCTCAGTATTTGTGTCTGCAGGGTGTTGCACACAGAAAATAGTCTGCATACCTCTGTATCAGCCAGAAGAACCAAATATTGAATAAATTGTCACTGTTTCCCCAGGCTGGGGACGGTTAGTGCTCCAGGAAAATGTGGGCAGAGAATATTTCAGTTATTTGGACTTCCTACCTGTTGTAGTTTCCCATCTTATGTTTTCTAAACCAGGCCTACATATAACATGGGCTTGGTAAGGCACAGCTTTTCAAAGAGAGTTCTGGTAAGCCAATGTTTGTTTCCTGCTATTTGTTCTTCCAGTCTGACCTTTTCATTCTTACAAGCGTGTCTGTACAAAATTGTGTGTGGAAGGAATCTATATCAGAGGAGAAATCCTTTTCAGTAGAGCCAGCTGCTAGCTGACTTTTGTGTAAAACCATTGGATTGAAGGTAGCTATTAGTGGCTTCTTTTGCATATGTGGACTGAACGAAGGAACACTTTTAAAATATTTATTCCGTATGCATTGATACAGCAATGGAAAGTATAACTTGGGATCCTGGGCTGTTGCTATGTTGTTTTCCCCCTCCTAACATGAATGTGTGTTTCAATAAAGCTTTTTCACTTATCAAATGTTTGCCTTTGTTAGTTCCATAGATGCTTTTGTCCTTGATATCCTGATTTACTGCTTTTCCTTTTACATGTGGCTTAAAGGGTAAGAATCAGAGTGATAAATGTCCTTCCCTACTCATTCTGTACTAATTTGAAGAAAATGTGCCCTTTTTTGCATTTTACATTACTACTTTCCTGAGCCTAATTCTTTGTCCTGTGCACTTGGAGTCTAAGTAGAGAAGTGAGAACCCATGTTAAAAGTGACATCACATTTTTCTCTCAAGTACCAAAGGAAGTTTGCCTTTAGGTTTGTAGACCCTCCACTGCTGGAGGGAGGAGAGTCATACTGACAAAGAAGGTAAGGAAAGATAACCTTCTATAGGCACTTTCTTCTAGATTTGTTGATTTCTCTGGGAAGTGGAGACTTTTCCCTTTACTTCTACCATTATTTATTATTGAGAGATAAATAACACAGGTGCTAAGTAACCTATCTCTAAAATAGGGCTCTGAGTTTCTAGATAAAGTCTAAAAAAGTCTAGGCCTCTTGTAAAAAAAAGGCATTAACATGTACAAAGCTTTATATTTTATTTGATTAATCGCTCCAGCTACCTTATGAAGTAAGAAATTTTTCCTTCTGACAAATTAAGACACTCAAGCCCACTATCACACAACAAAATTAGTATTTGAATCAAGATCTCATTGTACTAATTATGCTGCCTTATAAGAGGATGATACATGTCTTTTGAGCAAAGAGTCGAAGGAAGAGGTGACTAATGTCTTCCAAATATCATAAAGAAATGGGCTTTGGATAATTCTTTGGATAATACTCATCAGGCTTAGTGACTGTATAGCCTGTGTTCATGGGGAAGCAGTAGAAGAGAGGGAGGAGGAGGAAGGAGTAGATAAGAGAAAAGTGAAGGGAGGGGAAGAAGGAAGACAGGGAAGAGAAGTAGAGAGAGTTGGGGCCAGAGGGATTCAGAAAGATAGAAATAGAGTTATATAGAGAGACTGGGTCATGCTAGCCATTTTAGATCTGGCTATGGGCCCAATTCTTTCATGTATTTCCTCTGCTTTAAGAGTTGGAATTTTTTGAGCCATAATTTACAAAGGAAGTTACAAAAAACATAAAGCAAGATTGACTTGCCTTGACTGCTTGAGATGATACAAGGGCTCCTCAGTTGTTTTAAATTTGAGAAGCATTTATATGTAAGAGTCAAGCCAAGGTTGGGAACTTTATCCTGAGAGAAGTAGGTCTCCTCTGTTATTGATTGCGTCATTGACTTGCTACCACTTGAAGTGTCAGTGATAAAGAAGAGGAAGGATATTTATCTTTGTATGCAATCTTTGCCTTTGGAACCACAGATCTTATCTGACCAAAATTTCCTATGTGAACTCATTGTATTTTACCTTCTGCCCATAACTTGCCTCTGGTCTATCAAACGTCTTGTATTTCTCTGGAGGGAAGAGACTTTGCTCCTACAAGTTAGTCATTTGTCCCACGTCCCATTTCAGCCACCAACTGGCTTTTTATTTTGCATTTTAAACAATTAAAATTTCCAGGCAGGCATGGTGGCACACACCTGTAATCTCAGCACCCGAGAGGCTGAGGCAGGAGCATTGCCATGATTTGGAGCTCAACCTGGGTGAAATATTCAGTCCAGGACAGCCTGAACTATATAGGGAGACCCTGTATGGGAGGGGAGCAAGAGAGAGAAAGAGAGAGAGAGAGAGAGAGAGAGAGAGAGAGAGAGAGAGAGAGAGAGAGAGAATCGATTTTCCCTAAAACTCCAGTAGAACTATCTTCTCTTTAACTCACTGTTACTCCTATAACCCTGGCTCCTGATTTATGTCCTATGATTCTGTTTTAAATGAATTTTTGGAGGGCTGAGAGCCTATCATTTTCCTCTTTCTTCCTGGAACCACTATGAGTTTTTGAGTCTCAGTAGGATTACTGAAAATGGAACCCTCTCCTTGGTTAGGGCTTTTAACTGTTTTTAGATGGTAAGTAGGAAGAGAAACAGGTTGGATGGTATAATGTCTAATAACATTGACTCACAAGTCAGTCTGCTGATGTTTAAATCCTGAATCTGCCACCTTTTAGCTGTCTGACATTAGGCAAATTGCCTTACCTCACTGAGCATCAATTCTCTCATCTGGAAAAGGAAGCTAATAATAGTTTCTATCTTTTAGAGTTCTCATGAAGACTCCAGATTTAATTAATAGAGTGTATATAATGGTACTTTATATATAGTAAATGTTCAAGCATTATTAACTCTGCTTCCTCACCCAGCCCACTTCCTCTCTGCTCTAGTTTGCCAGTGGTCACCCCTGGGTAAAGTAAAAAGCTGCTGAGCTTTAACTATCACTCTGAATTTCATGAGTGTTTCACATTTTCAGCAGCAAGGCATAGAAAGCACTTGTATTCCAAACACTTACACGCTATTTACTTGTAGTGAAGTCAGATTAGGGATCTGGGACTGGAGCTGTAGCTCAATATTAGGTCATGTGCTTAGCATGTATAAAGTCCTGGGTTAAATCCCCTGTACCAAAGAAGGAAGCAAAGGAATGATGAAAGAGAAAGATCCAGGATCTGTGTGTAGTTTCACTTGCCAATAGCATGATCTTAAAATTACTTTCAGGTCTAGATTTTAAGACTTGACTTTGTGTAGCTATGTCTCTCTCATACCTGCTTATAACTCATCTCTTAAAAGTAGATATCTGAAGAAATTAATACACGAGGCAGAATCAGTTTTCTTTCTTTACTACTTTCAGTGATACTTCTGAGGTGTTGAAGCTCACTGGCTAGGAGGTATCCTCTAAGGAAAGGACTGCATTATCTACCGTTTTTGGTGGGGTTCAGGAGGCCTCAGTAGCAAAGGTTCTTGCCCCTGAGACAGTTGGAGAAATCACAAGACAGCTTTCTGCTGTGACCAGAATTCTTTACCAACTCCCTCTCATTGCAATATTTTCCTAACTCTTGATGAAGCAGTGTTAAGCAACATTTTTATCCCAGTGCCAGAGGTGAAGTGATAATCAGTTTCAAGTTTTTGGAAATCTTTGCTTCTGATACAGTTAACCTGTAAGCTACGCTTGATAGTCTTTGTTGTTTGTTGTGATAGTGCTGCCCTCTGGTGTCACTTCTGGGTAGAGGAACCATTTAAAACAGCCTGTAAGTGGATGAATTTAGGATTTACTTATCTGAAAGATTTTGGAGAACTGGGCGAAGTCCTTGGTTATGAAAGGAAGACTTCTACTTCCAACACACTGTGCAAAGCCTGTCTTTAGACCCTGACTAGCTTCTGCTTCTCCTATGGAGAAGTAGGAGAAGGTATTATACAGCTAAAAAGAATACCTGAAAAATATTCTGCCAAGATTGGCAGAACTCCCCCACTTCAGAGTGTATATAGAACTGTGGGGAAACATTTCCTCCATTTATTAGGTCTGAGTTTTAGCTAACTAGGGAAGCTTTTCCTTTGACTTCAGCCATTCCTTAGCTCAAGTTCACTCGCATATATCTCTTTGCTCCTGGCGCTGGATCATCTCCTGGTTGCTCAGCAGGTAGTCATCAATGAATGTGAAGATTTCCTCAGGGGTGACAGGTTCCATGTAGCGTTCCCGGTCAATACCCTGCTTGTCAATCAGTACCATGTTGAAGTAGAACCGAGTAAGGTGTTGGAATTGCCTAGAGAGAGCAGCCCAAGGAAATATGAGACTTTATCTGGGCATTTAGCCCTGAGAGCTCTACTACCCTTTGACTTTTCACAGTTCAACTGAGGGACTAATTCCTTCCCCATTGTGTGCCTTGTCTCTGTCCTCTCCACTACTTACCTCAAGTCCCTTTGCTTTTTTCTTTTTGGACCCTAATCTCTTGCCTCCATGTGTCTAGTTCCAAGCTTTCCTTTCCTCACTCAAGGTAAGGCAGCTTTGTTACAACCAGACTATGCTTCTGTTGTAGGCCTGTTTCATGAAGGCTGCATGAAATAACTCCAGGAGATGCGTATGATCTGTATGTACCTCATACACAGCGGGTCCATGCCTGATAAATATCACCTGGTTAACTCTTTTACCTGTAGCTTCAAGACTTCAGTATCTTTCCTCTGAATCCGTAGCTGTAAGTTTGCAGTATCTTTCCTCTAATCTCTCTAACAGGGACTGAATCTCTCTGTCATCACTGAAACTGTGTCCTAAAGGCAAGTATTGTTTCTAGAACAGGGGTCATTGAAAGATTTATTGGTCCTGAGTAGAAATATTGCAAGACTAATAATGGATAGATATTGAGAAAAGCCAATTTCTACCACATGCCATTTATAATCTTTCTCCAAGGAGCTGATAGATATGATTCAGATTTTAGTGCCTAAATATGTCTTGTGCTCCTTTGGAGACTGAAGATAAAAAGATGTGGCAGTGGGTCAACAGGATCTGATGCTTATCTAAGTCAAATGTGTCTCTGTCTCAGCATGAGTGGGTTTCAAAGTCACTATAAGTGCCTTTATAAAAGCATATTTAGGCTAAGGCCTGGTAATATGTATTTTGATTCCCCATTTGATTATCTTGTTCCACAAGAGTTAAGAGTTAACTCTTGCCTTGCCTAATATTTCCATAAGAGTTGAAACGGGGTAAGTGCCTTAAGAGAGAGGTGTTTGCTGTTCTTCCACCTACTGCATTGCCACTTGCTTCATTACCAGTATCCTGCCTATGGTTTTTGGCCACCCCTACCCTGCAGCCTCCCAGCTTAAACCTGAGTTCCTCGATGATGCTGGATGAAAGCTGTTGCTCCCGGATGCGCCCCACATCCTGAGGTGGCTGCCCCACCAGCTCGATAATGGTCACGTGCCGCAGGTCTAGTCCACAAGTGGATTGCTGAGGGGTGAAGGGGAAAGAACATTTAATGGAACTGACCTTTGCACTTAGATCTAAAGCTGCTCATCTGATTCCTCCTGATACCACATGAAGAAGTGAGGGAGGGGAGGTACTTTTCTTGCAATGAATACACAATCATAGGATTACAATGAACACAATACGAGATCTACACAACTTTTCCCTCTATCACTCCTGAAGTACTTGCTCCAAAAGTGTTTCCTTAATTTTCCTGAAATGCATGAAATCCCTTACAGAATGTGGAATAGAAAAGAGAAACATAATTACTAAACTGCAGGAATGTAATCATTGTTTAGCCATCTACAAGTTTTAAACTACATTAATTTTTAATGGATGGCTATTGTAAGATGATAATGGCTACTGTTTATTTATTTATACATACCTAATGCTTCATAGAAATAATTTAACCATTGTATCAAGGCTAACAAGGTAGGTAATGTCATTCTTACTCCAGAGAGGAGAACATAAGGCCCAAATTTGCATGTCAATAACATGATAAGCCAAGACTCAAACTGAGGCCTAATGCAGCCTACCCTTTATCACTAGGCTACATTGCTAGGACCTTTTCTCAGTCCTAGGATTTCTGCAAAATAGTGTCCAGTGCTCTTTTCATTACCCTTTCTTTCCTTTTTTGCACTGGGCAACATACCCTATGACACTACCCTCTCTATCTCTTTGTCCTGCCTTGTGCCCTAGGATCTAATACCTGCCATTTATCAGGGTGAGGTGTAAAGAATCATTAGACATTCCCTAGACCCCTATTCTTGTTTCACCTGTGGTCTTCTTCTCTAGTCTTGACCCTCAGAATTACTGTCCTTGTTGTCAGGTTCCTATTCTTTCTCTTGCTTTTTATTAAATTGAGGTTTTGCTTTTGCCTGATTTGTCTACATAAAAGGATAAGATCCTTTTTGGATTAGACCTCCAGGTTCATCCTTTTGGTGAAAGAACTGCCATCATAGGCCATATTGACTTAGCAACTTGTACAACTCAGCCTTTAGAAAACCCTGAGTAGCTTTGTCTTTTACATGGTTTTACAGTCCCTTGCAGCTTCCCAGGGCTACTTTTTTGATCCTGTCTGTACAGCTTGAATTCTCTTAGCAACCTAGCCTATTCTTTTCATAAATCCCCGAGGTTGTATCTATTCTGAACTACCTACTTCTTCCTTATTCACAAGTAGCTTTAAGTAGATATCTCTTAGTATGTTAAAAAATCATCATGCAAAGTTTTAATTTTACTTAGGGATATCACAGTACTTTTCCTGCTGGTAGTGGTTAAAAGCATAAATCTTGGAGCCAAACTTCTTGGGTTCAATCCCAGGTCTAACACTTACTATCCAGTGACCTTGAGAAGATCACTTAATCTGTCTATGCCTCAGTTTCTTTACCTACTCAATGGGGATTATAATGCCTATCTCATAAGGCTGTTTTGAGAATTAATGGAGTATTTATAAAACATGTAGGTCAGTACCTGCACAGCACTTACTGTCTGTGATTTTTAGTGTGTTGTTCCTTGAAAATGTAAATGCAGTTAATTTCTGGCATCTATGTCTGATCATAGCTGTCTTACAAGTCTGTTCAGAATGCTTTGCCACACTCCCTTTTCAACTTCTACCCAGTCCTCACAAGTCACATGTCACATCTACCATTCCTGTGGTCTTATTTTCTTTTCAGTAAAAACACAGTACTTTAAAATAATGTTTCTTTGGTACAGCACAGTAAAAACAGTACCTTGGTACTTTTCAGTAAAAACACAGTACTTTTTAATCATGTGTCTTTGGTACAACTGATCAAAAACCACCCACAAAAAGTTTGAAAGAGCAGTGTTTATGCTACAGAAAGCAATTATTTGGTTTGGTAGATGTAAGGGGGTAGTATAAAAGAGTTAAGCCTTCATTAGAGTAGTAGATCTTACCTGCAGCATAGAGATCTGCATTTTATAATATCGGTTGGAAGGATCAGGAGCTGAGATGATGAGGAGTCGTCGTTTCTCATAGAATTGATCCAGGAGACCAGCAGCTGAGTTGACATTAACATTAATCTTCATGGCTAAGGTAGAAGTGGATAGCTAGTCAGAGTTTGCACTTCTTCAACCTGCATAGGTAACCTAACATCTCAAGGAGTTCTAGTCTTTTGGGTTAGCCCTTCAAGTTGTTTCTCCCTTGCCTGTGGAAAAATGCTGGAAAATAAAAAACCCAAATGACTTTCAACTTTTCTTATTGAGGTAGGAGTATTCTATGGGGAAAAGTTGGCCCTTAAAATACATAAATCTCAGAACTCCCTATTCTTCATTATATGTATTGCTTTTGGGATCCTTTGTCATGGGAGCACCCTCCAAAGTAACTGTGATCATATGTTCACGCTCCCCATTGCCCGGTTTCACTCACGAGTGCAGATAGGTGGTGATCCTGACCATTGGCGACTGGACTGGCAGACCCGAGAGGGAGTCCCTTGGCGCTCATAACCACCGTCACAATGGTACTCACAGGTGGCACCGTAGTTGTTGCCCACTGAAGTGCAGGTGAGGTAACCATGCTGTGGTGGTTTCAGAATTGGACAGCGTCTCACTAAGAGGGAGGAACTCAAGTTAGAGGTAATATAGTGTACCTTGTAGGTAGAAAAGTCTAAGAAAGTACCTTTTCGAGGTTATCTAGAATAGGAGACTTGGGATGATCGGAATGAAAGTTTTCTGTGTTTCCAATGGCCAGGGAGGGAGCCAGATTTTTTCTTAAGAAACTAAATGTGAAATACAGACAAAGTTCACAAAGTCTGGAAACACATGTGACTCTACATATTATCATCAGAAGACTATCAATTTGTAAAAACAAATATTCTTATCTATATTGACAGACTTTATGGATAGCCTATGTAAGGATGACCAGCTTGTATAATTACTTTAACAGAAATAAGTCAGAGGAATTGTAATGACCGAGAAAGTTTCTGTAAATCATGACATAGTCTTAGAGTATAATGACATACCATAATTGAGAATATTTCTGAAGAATTTTTAAAGAACATAGGAAAATTGCTTGTGATAGAATGAAAAACAAAAAAGTGTTGCATGATTGGATATAATCCAATGATTTTTAAAGTATGTGGAGAGACAAGACTGATAGAAAAATATCAAAAGGTTAACAAGCAACTGCCTCCGAATGATAGGGTAATAGTGTTTTCCCTTTTCATATATTTCTTTACTTTTCAAATAGCCAGCAATGCACAAGATTTTTTTTAAATGAGAAAAACTGAAACCAAACAATGTGATACAAAGCAAAGAGGAACCATCAGGCAGCCAACACCACCAGTTTGAGAATTAAGATTGATTATATTTGATAATTTTGAAGGCCAAGAAGAAAAGGATAGAGAGTATCCTTGTGAATTTTATCTAAATTTAGGAAAAGGAGAAAGCCTTGTTAGAGAGTTAAGTTTTCTCTGACTTGTGTATTCACATGAAGTGTAGTTTTCTAGAATGAGTGCATTTAGTAAACTTCAGTCCTGCCCCTCCTTCCCAGTATAAGTAAAGTGCATTTCAGGCATAAAGAGAAGAGGATCTTTTGGAGCTTTTGGAAGGTCAGAGTAGAGTAGGAATAATGAACAATATGGAAACTGAAAACTTCTTTCTGACCTTGTACTTTCACAATGAACTTGCAGCTGGCTCGGTTGTAGGCTGTGTCATAGGCAGTGTAACGAATCACATGCTCTCCTTCAGGAAATTGGGAACCAGGCTCAGGGCCCCGAAGCGTCACCCTGAATAAGATAGGATAAAGGAACTACTGAAGAAAATGATACTTAGAATTCAGATCGCAGGCACGTCATCACTGTAGCCTAAGCCTGTACAGTAGTTTCAGTGTGAGAAGCTGGAGGGACTAGGAGAAGTCACAGGTAGGAATGAATGGCATGTGTTACTCAAGCTCACCTGGTAATGGTACCATCAGCAGAATCTTTCACAAGGGGTGGGTCCCAGTATACACGAGCAGTCAGTTTCTCTGGCTCTGCCATCTTCTCACGTGAGTGAGGACAGTAGATCTTGGGAGGATCAATGTCTGCCATGGTCAAAAAGCAAAAGTTTTATCCCTAACTGCTGATTCTCTTTCTCTAGAGGGAACTCACTGAGGTAACAACACATACTACTAGGAGGGTTTAAAAGCTCAAGATTTTCAAGGGAACAGAAAGAAAGCCTGATGTTAGGGGAAATAATCATTTCATTAAGCACATGCTCACAGTGTCACACTCACAGTGAACAGGAATATCTCTTGCAGTTAGAATTCCACATCTTTGTGGACACAGTGGTAAGGTGGCTCTTTGCAGCAAGTTAATTGGGAGTAGCCAGCATTTACCTACACACACAGGTTCGCCTCCACTCCATCGCCCATCTTCCATGCAGATTCGGCTGCGATCACCTTCTAGGTGGTAGCCTCTGGAACAGCTGTAGTCACAGCGAGAGTCAAGAAGCACCCCATTTGTGCAGGTATAAGTGCCGCTAGTGATAGATGGTAGTGCATGGCATCTTATCTCTAAGAGAGAATCAAGTGGCAAACTCAGTGGCCTATAGGACTATTTGGAGATGGCATCTGGTCATCTAGCACAGGAAGAATCATATGAAGGGTAGGAGAAAATACAGAAACCTGACCCAAATTACCCTTACAGTTTTGTCCCTAACTGCTATTTTCTCTAATTATCTTTTTTATTTTTATACTTAAAGTGCAGAAGCATTATTGAGAAGGGAGGTGTGTCTCAAAGAAATAAATTATTTGTCCAAGCATATAAAGCCTGAATCAGACCTGAGTATTTATGCCAACTTCACTTTTTATTTGATCTGTAACTTGAAAAGGTTATCTTATCTCTCTGAGTCTCATTTTTTCATCAGTAAAATGCAGATACCACAAAAGATTGTTGTACAGACTAAAAGCAACAATACATATAAATCTTTGGGATCATTTAGAGCTTCAGCAATTGTTAGTTTTTGTCTCTTTTACTGTAGGTGCTACCTGGTCTTGAAAATATTTAAAGCTCATTTTCAAGTATCACTTTAATGCAAAGATATTTCTTGGCTGAGAATCACTTGCATGTCAGAGTTGGATAGCTTTCTATCTGGGTGACAAGTCAGGCCAGTGCCTTGGGGTTTAGGTTGTGGTATTTGATAAAGGAAGGATTATGTGCTTTTGACATTATATATGCCAGAGATTGCTACCATAAACTAATTATGATCTTGTATATGCCAGATTCTTGTTTAAGATACCAAATACTTAAAATAAGTAAAGGCCATATATTCCTTTACATAGTCTAATTTCTAATCTTATAAGTTCAGCTGTTGGATATTTGAACAAAGATTCTGTATAAACTATGTACATTTCACTTCTTGGTCAAACCAGACTTGAAGATTATTACATTTCCTGTTTCCCAGTATCTGTTTTATAAAGATCTACACAAAAGTGACCACCTTAAAATCAAAGCCAAATAAAAGGCTTGCCTTTTCAGGTGAATCTGTTTGCTAAGTATCATATGACAATGAAGATATAGATCCAAAGCATTTGCTCTTTTTTCTCTCATGAGGAAGGTCAAGAGTAGATTAGGATTTAAATATACTAATCAATTCATTCTACGCACCTGGGGAAATATGTATGTTTCTATTCTTCTAACTGGTTTTATGTTCATTTTTAAATTATAGCCTTATATATCTCAATTTCATCCACCCAATTCAAATTCATTTGGAAAAGTATGGTTCTTAAGTCCTAAAAGAACTTAAAGTTTCTCAGAAGGTTGTTATGACTTCCCTCTCTTTAGCTATCAGGCATTTCCTCTCCTTTGTAGCATCTTTTCTGATCAACCTCATTTTTCTCTGAATTCTCAGAATTTCTGTGTCTAGGCACATGACTTGTGCATACATTTGGTTTTATGTCCCATGATTCCATAAACATCCAGAGGGTAGTTGAAGAATTAAATTCCTGAAATGATTAATACAGGGCCCTGCACGCATAGAAGGTATTCATTGATGGACATATGGAAGGACAAAGCTTACTTGTTAAAAGTACGTAGGCTGTGGACCTTGAATAAAAAAAGACAGGGATTTACAAGCTTAAGGGAGACACTGTTTACGATGTGTGTATTAGCATCCCTGTATTCTAGCTTTAGCTGCCTTCTTTTTAACTTAAAGAAGAGAATGAAGAATAGAAGACTTCTCATAGTTGCACTGCCTAGGCTTTCTAAGGCTATAAGCCAGGAAGTACAACATTTGAATACAAATAGGAGATTGTAGGGATACGTTTTTTGAGAGCCCCAAAAGGTAGCCCAGGTCCATATCAGATTCTAGGGACAAGTCTTAGCCTTCTACATGCAATCTTGTGTTTCCTGAGTCAGCAGGGATGACTGCTACTTAAATGCTCATTTAACTTGTACAATAATCACTGGGACAGAAAATAAAGTAGTATATAAAGGTAAGGAAAGGCTCTAGGAGGGGAGCTTTGGAAAATTTCTAATTTGCACTTGGAAGAAGGGTATGGTAACATCTTCCAGTATATATTTTCAATGGCTGGTTGGTAAGTTTTTCTCATAGGCATACATCAGCATATGCAAACATATAACTTACGTCTACAGTAGGCAGTTCCAGACCAACGACGGCTTGGCAGGCATTGCACTGACTTCTGTCCAATCAATCGAAAGCCACGGTCACAGGAGAGCTCACAACGTGTGCCTAGACTGCTGTGATAATTCCCTCCCCTTGGCGAGTAGCATGTGGCTTCTCCATCTTGGATATTTAATGTATAACACCACCGAGGGACTGTAGCAATAGAAGAAAAGTAAGCTAGAAGTACAGTAATCAAGATAGTGTATTATTGGTGAAAGGCCAGACACATAAGCCAATAAAATGGAATATAGATTCCAGAAATACACTCATGCATCTATGCCAAAATGATTTTTATAAAGCTACAAAAATAATTCAATAAAGGTTTTTAAGCAAATGATACTGGTACATAAAAAATAAACATTCTAAGCCTCAACGTGTATGCAAAAATTCAAGATGGATGATAGACATAGATGTAAAAAGGAAAACTATAAAACTATTAAAAGGGAATACAAGAGAAAATCTCAGGGATCTAGAGGTTGAGAAGGAGGTTTTAGACATGATACCAAAGCACAGTTCATAAACCAAAATGAATAAATTGGACCTTGTTAAAATTAAAACCTTTCATTCTGTGACAGGCATTATTAAGAAATCAAGGACAAGGTACAAAGGAGGAGAAAATATTTGAAAATCATGTATCTAGCAGAGAATTAAAACCTAGAGCAGATAAAACTATCAAAATTCAGTATCTAATAGAAAATGGTCCAGTTAGAAGATGGGTGAAAGATACAAACATGTAAAAAGATGTTTAGCTTCACTAGTCATCAAAGAAATGCAAATTAAAACTACAATGAAATATTACTAATATACCTGTTAGTATGCCTAGATTTAAAAGGTAGTGTCAATACCAATACTGGTGAATATGGAGAGAAATTGGAAATGTCATCAGTGACTAGTAGGAATGCAAAAACAGCCACTTTGGAAAATGGCTTGGTAGTTTCTTATAAAGGCAACACCAAATCTTCTTATTAAGAAAGGTACACTTTCTACATGCTTTTCCACTTAAGGTATTAAGTGGAAAGGGAAATGAAAACTTGTGTCCACATACGATTTTGTGCACAAATGTTAAAATACTTCTTTTAATAATTGCCAAACGCTGGGAACAACTCAAATGGCTTTATGTGTGAAGAATTAAACTCCCTGAGGTTTATCTATTTTTCTTTGTAGAGAGAATCTTTTTTATTTATGCCTTATATTCTGAGAAAGTACTTTGAAGATAATTATACAGAGTATATTAACTATTGTTATTCTCTTATTATATTGTTATAGGATTTATTTTTTCATAAAATAAAAAAAATTATGAAAAAAGAATGAAATGCTTATAGATGCAACGACATAGATGAATCTCAATGCATTTTGGAAAGTGAAGGAAGGCAAACTCAGAAAGATACATACCATAGCATTCCATTTATATGACAAAGACATATAGTCATATATAGGCAAAAATGTAGGGACAGATTACATATCAGTGCTTGCCAGAGATCATGGTAGAGGTAGAGGATAATCTCAAAGAGGCAGCATTCGGTAAGTTTTTGAAATGACAGGACTGTTTACTGTGGTAGTAGTTATCTCACTTTATACCTTTGTTAAAACTCATAGTATTCTACATCAAAGAAAGTAAATTTTACTATAAGAAATTTAAAATAACTGTTTTTATTTTTATTTGGTGGTTAATGGGAATCGAACTCGGTACCTTGCAGTTGCCAAGCAGGTGTGTGCTACTGAGCTAAATACCTGGCCCAAAATCAAACATTGTTAAATAACAAGATAATGTAAATTTGAGAAAAGGGATGTGATTTCAAAGAAGTCTGCTTAAGAATAAAAGTCTAATCCTAGTTCAGTACTGAGTACAAAAAATTGCAGGGTCATTAAACATAAAGATGCTTCATTGGCTTTACAAAATAAATGACACCTCAGTTGGTTAGGGTTTTAATGGGATGTGTATAAACCAATGAAAGGCCACCTACCCAAATATGTTTACATAGGATGGCACAGATATGTCTGCCTAGGATTGGGAAGGCTAAAGCCCCATGTAAGCTGATTTGATTCTAAAATTCTAGGGATAGGAAAACAGAACTTTACAAGAAAGCACATCAGAAGCTAGAGGAGTAGAGGAAGGCTAGAGTCTTTGCTTGAATGCAGCTAGAGAATGAGCACAGATGCAGTGAGCAAACTGTTCTTCAACCAGCACCACACTTAGGACTTTGCGGATTAGTTTTGCTCCTGTGGTAGTGACAGGACTTGTATCTGAACATACTGTCTCCGAATTACAAAAGCTTCCTAAGCACTGTGTTGCAGAATTGTTGATTATAAGGCCACAGCACATCACAAAGATCTTTAATGGGAGGCTAAGGACTCAACAATTGCTTCCATTTTATTTCTCTCCTGTATTCTGTCAAGAAAAATACACATCCAATTAACACTGATAGAAGAAGCAACACGGTAAAGGGAAATACAAAGTTCAAGGCAAATAATGAAGCAGTAAAAGCGACCAAGCCATTATAAATAAATTAAATTTTGCTGGTCCAGGCCTGGCATAAGGCCAAAATATTGGAGGGCTGGAGAGAGACCAAAACACAGTCCTAATTTTTCAAATAAGGAGGAGATGGCCTCTGAGAACTATAGCCTGATGCTACAGTATGCATAGCATGCTATTCTAGAATATATAAAAGTATGGCTCATTAGCAGTTAGAGAAGAGGTGATTCCTAGGAGCCCTCAAGAACAAGTAATACCAGACTGACCACATTTCTATCTTGGGTTGGGCCACCAGGCTGATAGAACAGGGGAAATGGGAGGTATATTATGTGGAAGTAAATGAGGCATATGACAATGCTTTTCATGCCAATGATGTGGAAGAGAGGACATAGTACTGGAGAGGTGCCAAAAACTGTTGAAGAGATTCGTGAATGCAAAAAAACTGTACTCAAAGAATATTGACTGGAAACTGAAACGAAGAATATGATTAGATACTGCATGTGACAATATGTGCTAGGAAAAGTGTTGGCCTGTATTGAGTATTTCCTCTATTTATATACATGCTATATACTTTTCATATGCTATCTCATGTAGTCCTCTAACATCCTTTTGAGGTACGTAGATGTTTATCCCTGTTTTGTAGATGTGATCCTTCTTTATAGGTGAGTAGTACTCCAATATATAAAATCACCACATTTTTTAAAATCCATACCTCATTTCATGGGCACTTGGGGTGTTTCCAAGATTTTGCAATTACAAATTATGGTGATGTGAACATGGGTGCACATATATGACTGTGGTTTGATGTTTTCAATTCTGGGAAAATGCTGGGAAGCTAGACAGCTGAATGAAATGGAACCTCTAGTTGTAAACTTTTGAGGGAGCTCCACACGATTTCCACAGTAGTTCCACCAGTCTACACTCCTACTGTGCAAAAGACTCCCTTTTCCCCCCACAGCTTTCCTAGCACTTGTTACCAGTTTATTTTTTGATCTTCTGTCGGGAGTAGGATGGAATCTCAGTGTTGTTTAATTTGCACTTCTCTAATAACCAATGGTGCTGAACATTTTTTCATATATTTATTTATTTGCCATTTGTATTTCTTCATCTGAGAAGTGTGTATTCATCTCAGATGCTCATATTTGGATTGGGTCTTTGACTTTTAGGGGCCTGATTTTTTAAACTCTTTATATGTTATAGATAGAAGTCCTTTGAGGGGCAGTTGGCTAAGATATTTTTCCAATTCATGGACTTTCTTTTCATTTGGTTGGAGATTTCTTTTGACATGCAAAAACTTTTTAATAAGACATGATCATAGTTGGTGATTTGGGGAAATACATCCCTTGCAGTTTGATTTTTTGTTCATGAACTCTCTATCTACCTTATGTATTCAAGATATCTACCTACTTTCTCTTCCAGCAGATTTAGTGTTTCTGTTTTAATATTTAGATTTTTGATCCATTCTGACTTTAGTTTAGTGTATGGTAAGAGGCATGGGTCTAGTTTTACTTTTTGACATATGGAAAGCTAATTTTTCCAGTACCATTTATTGAAGATACTATCTTTCTTCCAGTGGACTGTTTGGCCCCTTTATCAAAAATTAGGTGGTAGAGTGTGTTTTCTCATCTATTCCACTGATCTTCAGGTCTGTTTTTTTCCAGTACCATATTTATTTTATCATAGTAGCTTTGTAGTGTTATTTCAAGCCACAGATTGTGATGTCTCCTGCCTTGCCTTTGTTGCCCAGAATAGCCTTTGCTATTCTAGGTCTTTTCTGATTCCAGATGAATTTTAGGAAAGATTTCTCTAGCTCTGTGAGGTACGCTAATGGTAGTTTGATTGGCATTGTATTCTTTGTATAACAATTTCAGGAGAATGTTCATTTTTACAATATTTATTCTTCGTATCTATGAACAAGGAATGTCTTTCCATTTTCTGAAATACTCTTTGATTACTTTTATCAGAGTACCTTTATTTTCAATGTATAGATCTTTTAGTTTACTCTGTTAGATTAATTCCTTAAGTATTTCATTTTATTGGATGCTATTGTGAAGGTGTGGTTTCCCTTTTTTTCTCAATGAGTTTGTTGTTTGTACACAGGAATGCTATTGATTTTTGAGTGTTGGTTTTGTGTCCAGCTACATTACTGAATTTGTTTATTGCATCAAGAAGTCTTTCAATGGAGTTATGGGGGTCTTGTATGTAGAGTATCATGTAATCTGTGAATAATGATAATTTCACTTCTTCCTTTCCTATCTTTATTCCTTTTCTCTCACTTGTCTAATTGCTCTGGCTAATGTTTCCAGAACTAGAATGAATAGGAGTGGTGACAGAACATGTTCTTGTCTTGTTCTTGATTTTGGAGTGAAAGCTTTCAGTTTTTGATCTTTTAGTATGAAGTTGGATGTTGGTTTGTCATAGATGACTTTTATGAGACTGAGATACAGGTCATCTATTCCAATTTTCTGTATGGTTTTTACTATGAATGAGTGTTGGATTTTATTAAAAGCATTTTCTGCATCTATTGAGATGATCATGTGATTTTTCTTTTGCTCTATTAATAAAGTCCATTACATTTATTGATTTGTGTATGTTGGAACCACCTCTGCATTCATAGAATTAATCCCATTTAGTTGTGATGTATAATCTTAATGATTTGCTGCGTTCTGTTTGCTAATAT